AGGTGTGGATCAGGGTCAGAATCAAGGAGACGGGATACAGGGTGCAGACATGACTGCTACACAGCTGTAATGTACTGCAGCAAGGTCCAGGATGAGAGCTTCAACCTAAAAGGAGCTTCCAAAGGAAGGAAGGGCAAACCCTCACCTTCCCTCACTTTACCTTTCTTAACAACAAATCATATCAACAAGGGAACTGACACTGGGCTCAGCCACCTAAACTCGGAATCACAGAATGATTGAGGGTGGAAGGTTCCTCTGGAAATCATAAATGTCCAATCCTCATCAAAGCAGGGTCAGTACTGCAGGTTCTTCATGTCTATGTTCAGTTGGATGAACTGAGTGGAGATGTTGGATGGATGGATTTCCAAGGATGGAGATTCCACAACTTCACTGAGCAACATGCTTCAATATTCCATAACTGTTATAGTTAATATTTTTATTTTTAAATGGAAATTCCTGTGTTTCAGTTTGTGTCTGCTGACTTCTGTCATTTTACTTGGCACCACTAAAAAGAGTATGTCTCAGTTTTCTTTACTCCCCTCCCCATCCCAGATATTTCTACACATTGATAAGATTCCCCTCATGCCTTCTTTTCTCCAGGCTGAACAGTCCCAGCTCTCAGCCTCTCCTCATATGCCAGATACTCCCAGACCTTAGTAATTGTCAGGGCCGTTCTCTGGGCCTGGTCCAATACATTCATGTGTTTTTTTGCACTGGGGAGTCCCAAACTGGACAATGCCAGGTGTGATCTCACCAGAGCTGTATCTGCTTGATGTGGTCCATGATGCTGGTGGCTGCCTTTGCTTTGAGGGCACATTGCTGGCTCATGGTGAACTTGTTCTCCCCCGAGGCCTCCAGGCCCTTCTCTGCAAAGCTACTTTCAAAACAGTTGGTGCCCAGCTGGTACTGAAGGCATGGGGTTTTCCTCACTGGAAACATTTCCCTTTGCTGACCTTCATGAGAGTCCGGCCAACACTTTTCCCCAGCCCTTCAAGGTCCCTCTGAAGGGCAGCACAACCATCTGGTGTATCAACCACTTCTTCCAGTTTTGTATCACCTGCAAACTTGCTGAGAGTGCACTCTGCCTCATCATGCAGGTCATTAATGAAGATGTTAAACAGTATTGGTCTCAGAATCAGCACTTGGGCTATACTACCAACCGCTGACTGTCAGCTGCACCTCGCACTGCAGATCACAGCCCCTTGATCCTGGCAGTCCAGCCAGTTTTCACTCCACCTCACTGTCCACTTACCTAGTCTGTACTTCATCACTTTATCTATGAGAATGTTAAGGAAGACGGGGTCAAAAGTCAATGTAAACAGCATATGCTGATCTTCTCTCAACCACTGAGCCGACCACCTCACTGTAGAAGGTTGTCAGGTTGTCAGTCATGTTGGGCATGATTTCACCTTCATAAATCCATGCTGACAACCCCCAGTCTTCTTCTTGTCCTTAATATGCTTGGAAATGGTTTCCATGCTTATTTGCTCCATCAGTTCTTAGGGACTGAGGTGAGGCTGACTGGCTTGTACATCCCCAATTCTTCTTTCTTGCTTTCCTTGAAGAGGGGAATGGCAGTTGCATTCTTCTAGTCCTAGGGATTTCCCCTAGTCACCAGGACCTTTCAAAGATTATTTAGAGTGGCTGAGCAATGACATTAGCTAGGTCCCTCAGCACAGGTGGATATAGGCCATCAGGTCCCATGGACTTGTGTATTTCTAGCTTATTTAAGTGTTCCTTAAGCTGATCCTCCTCCACCAAGCTGATCCACCACTTACCAAAGGTAAGTCTTTCTTGCTGCAGACTTTCCTGCTAGTCTCAGGGGTTTTGGGTACCTCAGTGTTTTGCATGTCTTTTTTAGTAGGCCCACATTTTCCATAGCCTTCCTTTTGCTGTGGAGATATGTGTAAACACCCTTCTTGTTGCCCTTCTGACTGAACATAAGGAAAGACCTTTTCTCATGAGAACCATGAAGCATTGAAACAAATTGCCTCAAGAGGTGATGTAGTCTCCATCCTTCGAGGTTTTCAGGACCACACTGGGTTAACAACTCGGCAACATGGTCTGACCTTTGAACTGATGCCACTTTGAGCAGAAGATTGAACTTGAACTAGGTAACCTCCAGAAGTTACTTCCAAGCTGAATTATTCAATGATCCTATGATTCTAACAATTGTATATACCTTCTGTATTCATTTGTTCAAAGAACAATGAGGCATATACTTTTATTATTTATCTATAGTTATAAATATTTCAGTAATAGAACTGTGAAACTTTATAATGTACCTGTTTTAGGAAATTGTCCTGTCAAAAAGGATCCATCTGGGCAAGAATTTAAATCAGATAACAATCAGGATGGCCTATCCAAGGTTTGTAATCCAATTTTATTTTCTACTTTTTATAAACATGCATTAGATAAAATGGTTAAATTACTTAAATGGCGATGCTGTTTCATCATTCTGAATTAAATTATTGACCCCACTCTGTTATGAAGATCTATTCCTGTATATGTTGGTTAGAGTTGTACATATTGTTAAAGTTCTAAATACTCTTGTTAAATCTCACATTTATGTAAGATATGGCACTTTCTATGTAATTTCTGAGTTAGCTGTATTGTATGATGTATTCCTGACCTTGCTTCTGCCAAGCAGATCATTCATCCCTTGACAAGGTTTCTTTTCTTTATGTTCAAAAATACTTAATTCTGCAATAATCTCTTTGACTTCATTGCTCACAGGAAAATACTTTCAAAGATAAGATGTAAAAGAATCCCTGTAAAACTAATAAAGTTAAATGCTATCTGTAGGAAACTATCAGTGGATTTATAGTAGTGAAAATCAGAATGAGCTTCGAACCAGGGTACTTAATTTTTTATTTCTTGGCCTTCATATACTTTGTTTTTCAACCTTGTTCCTGTCTGACATTTTCATGGGTGTAATGATGGAATTCAGTTGGAGATTTCAATGAAATTAGGCCTCTTTTACATCAGTTGAAACTATTTCTCCTTAATAGGTATCAATAAATATTATATGTAATAACAATAAATGTATAATATAGATAACACAATAAACATTAAAATTAATTAAATAATATATAATATATAACAGATAAAATAGAATCATACTCTTTATAAGAGTGAGTGTTGTGAACATTCTGGCCTTATTAGTCTTACACTGCACTCTTCCACAGCTATCTGCACGTGCCCAGCTTGGCGCCGCATCACAGAAATTGTTGAAGAAAGGAAAAAGTATTCCCGATGAATTACTAATCGACATCCTATTGGAAGCCATTAGGTATGAAATCGTATAGCTTTTTTTTCTCTGTTATTTAGAACATAACTATCCATCTTGTAGTCCAGATTAAGCCTTTTCTCTTTATTAAGGATTTTTTTGAATATGGAGTTTTCTACATGGAAAGTGGAGCTTATTAGTGAAGTTAGTTAATGCTCATTTTATGCTAGTAGTAGAATGCTAGCAGTACAGTCTAGCCCTGAATTATGCAGACATTATTGTACAGGACTGAAGGTAAGTAAAAATATACTTGACTATCACATAGTTATTTAATATAACTAATGTATCTGTTTTATTTATTAGTTGGAGATATTCAGCACGTGCTAGTATTTTTTCTTTTACATTTAGTGAAATGCATAATCCAAGCATTCGTACTTCAGCAGTTAGCTTACTTATTTTTGTCTACCCATGTTTGACAGAAAATTGTCTCAACTACACTGATGTGCAATTAGCACTTAAATTCCCACAGGAATATAATTTAAGTTATATTATGCCCATTAGTATATTTTAAAGTTACGAAACACATTTTGCTGTTTCTTACTTCAGTGCAAAAGTTAGTAGAGAAAATAGTGAAATTACACCTCTGATCATAGTCTGTATAGAGTGTTTTTGAAATCTTTATTTATCAATACAGCAAAAATTGTCTTGTTTTTGCATTTTTCCATTTTTATTTAGGCTTAATGTTACTTTTCTGATTTAAAATCCACTGCTTTACAGTTTAAGTTTTAATTACGTCTGTCATATTGTGTATTCATCAGGATATTTAATATATTGAGTTCAGAATGAAAGACTGCTAGGGCAAGCTCATCTTTAAGTGTTATTTTTATGCTATCAATTTGCTGTATAATTCTGGTTCTTTATTTACTTTTAGCCGAACACCACCAGAGAAGGGGTGGATTGTGGATGGGTTTCCAATGACAATTAATCAGGCAAAGCTATTCGAAAAAGCCTATACAGGGATTGATCCAGAAGCAAAAGATGCAAATTCTGGAAAGCTCTCACTTGTTACAGATCCCAGGGCCCCTAACGAGCCTCCTGTTACCTTGCCTGCATTTGATGTTTCTGTATTATTGGATATTTCAGACACTGTGGTACTGAAACGTGTGGCTAACATGAAGTGTAAGTTTCCAACTACTTTTAAAAAAGTAAAATGACATGCAGATTCTGATGTATGGGGAATGTAAAGACTGTTACAATACTGAAATGACTAAATTGTGAGTAGTTGAGCAAGTTGCATATTTTAATTAAAACTACTAAATTATATAAAATTAGATTTTCCTCTGATAATTATGAAATTAGAAATTGTTTAGATTTCTTGACAGCTTTCTTCTCAATTTGTAAGGACACTTTTAACTTTAGCTGTCTAAAAGTACATGACTAGGTAGAAGTAACACATTGATCCCAAACATTATTTACCAGGTATACCTGTAAGTTGTACTTACTAGAGCAAAATAGCATTACTGCACAATTTCTCTACATGTCATAGTATCAGTTTCATTAATTGTGCATTATCACCTTGAATGTTTCCAGATCATTTCAAATACTTTTATTTGTTTCAAAGGCAGATCAGAAGGGTGCAAGTGCGTGTGTATATGCTTGTTTGTATTTGTACTGAGTTCTCACTTGAGCTGAGACAGCCAGTGGCTGGTGTTAGGCATGACATAAAACAGGAGCTGGAAAAAATACAAGTTACAACAGATACAGAAATATATCTCTTTACAAATGAGTATGTGTAAATAGTATTTTTCTCCAGGAGACGCATTTGGAAAAGGATGAAGGAAATGATAAACAAAGGGATGTGCCAACATTCATTCCCTGGGAGTGCCAACATTCATTCCCTATTGATTGCTGCCTTTGTCTTATCTTTGGTTAGTCAGTGAATAATCAGAAATTGTCAATTTTGGCAAACAAAGGCAAAGGCATCAAAGGTTTTTTGAGGGCTGTTTCCCTTCCAGATCACACATTTTTAATTGGCATTACACACCCTGGCAAATCATAAGTTCATTTCATGAATATGTCCCATAGTGTCCAAATTATAAAAAGATTGCTCTTCTTTGTTTTCATGCAGCACTTACCTGGCACATGGCTTGAATTAAAGCACCATATACCTTTTATCTATAGGTAGGAGTGAGGATGAGGCAAAACCATTAGAGCTTCTACTAACAATGCAGTGAAGATAAATTTATAGACACTTGAAATTCTTGTTAAAGACCTTGTGTTGGCAAAACACTTTGAAAATGTGATAATACATGATATAATCTCAGAAATCCAAACAGAATTTATTTCATAAGATATAATGTGGTGATAGAAAAAGTCAAAAGAAGAATAAAAAAAATCAGAAATCTATAAAAAACTGTTTATTTCTAATCAAAGTGTTTTTTAAATTTAGAGACGCCTCAGGGAAAGAGAGAATACCTTGTCTTCTGATGCAGTGGAATATCTGACCATTGTTGTGAAAAGTAGTTACTTCAAGGAAAATTCAGATTAGGCAGGGAAGATACCTTCTAACTGTTATAATAGATAAGCCTGAAATAGTCTGCCCACAGGACTGCTCCCTCTTTACAACTGGACATTTCTGTGACTACAAAGCACCCATCAGGAAATGTTAGTGTTATAATGGGCTATGCATTTAAATAGAGGAGGAGGCAAGACACTGTGTTCAGGTCCTTTCCAGCTTAATTTTGTATTTCTATGATTTTCTCTGACTTTTCCTTTCTTTTAGGAAGTTTGGTATCCAATTTTAAAATGAAGGACTGTAAACTCAAGGAACACTGAAATTTTTGTTTTAATGATTATCTTATTTGAGATTAATAACTACCTGCATAATTGCCTTATTCAGTATATGCTCATATATGCTGTTTTCCACACAGCGGATAAATCAAAGTTGTCTCAAACTGAACAGAACAAGAATCAAAATTCAGATGCTGAAATCCTAGAACAGAAGATTGAGTTAGCCAGGGACCAGGTGCTATCTAGGTATGTTATATGAAGTACAAAAAGTTGCTTCAGCCAGATATTTAGGCATGTTATTAATCTGAATCTCTCAAGTGATCCATGAAGTACTGACATGCCTAATGTTAAGAATTTACTTGGGAGTTTCTCTAATGTGGAGCCTAAAGAGTACTTTCATTTTTGTCACAATATAAATAATCCTAGAAGATAAGAATTGATGTGGTTTGCTTTTTCCAAGGAGAATTTCTTTTTTAGATATATATTGCATGAACCATATGTATACATATACATATATACATACATATATATGCATACATATATTTGAAGTATATCATGCATCATGTGACTATCTTTGAGTGAAATGCACTTGATTTGAGTTACAGATTTTCTAAAATGGTATCTCCCACTTTTATATTTGTAAAAAAACAATTAGTTTTGTATTTTTTATTGAATCATAAAATGTTTAACTTTACATAAAAAGCAAAATCAAGAATAACAGTTTTTTTCCTAAATAGTTGATACTATTAAATATTTCAGACTGTTATATTGTTATTATTGTTGTTTTATTTGTGATACAAGAAAGTAGATTTAGCTTGTGACAAAAAAGAGTAAGAGATATATAAGACAAGGTAACAGTAGGATTTTGAAAATTTTCCTATGTTGAAAAAGAAGGGGCTCATGTGGATGGAGTATTATTTTGCAAAAACTATTTCTTGGATTTGTTTTAGTATTAAATTAAATGATCTGCTTGTTCTTTTCTTTAATAATTTGGGAAAATGTTTAATTTTTCATTAGTTAGATTCTAATTTCATACATTAATGTGCTTTTTGTAGAATTTCAGGCTTTCTAGACACATGGCCAAAATTAGAGAAATGGTTTTCAGTCCGTCAAAATATTCTAGTGAAAGTCAATGCAGAGACAGAAGAAAGTCTCATGTGTGAAGCAGTGAAGGAAATTATAATGGAAGAAATTGCCAAAAAACAGAATAGAAGTAAGTTTTCCTGTTCTTAATTTTTACAATTCAGTAAGAAAAGACTTTGTTCTTTATAATTAACACTAATAATTAATATAGAAAACAGTATAGAAACATACATTTTCACTGGCCCTGCAAGACTTTGGGTATGTGTGGGTTAGTGATAACTACACCAGAACTCTGATTTTCTGTTGTGCTTCTACTTCTTCAGAGGATGTGGACTAATTCCACGTAATTGTAAAGATAATTTAAGAAAAAAATTTAAAATATTTAAAAGAAAGTCTCAATTGGATTTATTTAAATTCCATGAAGTAAACGATTACTAAATTCAGTCCCTTCTTCCTGCTTTAAATATTACAGCTAGCATCTTCACCATATGGGATAACATAATGGTGTAAGAAAGGCTAACTTGCCATTATCAACATATACTAATTTATTGGCAGCAGCTTGAAAACATGGGTAACTTGGAGTGTTTTTGCCATGTGTTTTGGTGCATCTTTATTCCATTTTTCCTCTTTAACACCCAAAATGAAAGAATCATTTAAAAATTAAAAAGGAAAAAAGACGAAGTACCCAGGGGAAAAGATGCATCAGATAAACCAGGATTAGTAGACTTTTGAATATCCAAGTTTTTTCTTCATAATTATTACAAGAAAGTCTTGGTGTGTCTTCTACCACCAAAAAAAAAAAAAAAAAAAAGTAGTACTAGCTTTAAAAGCACTCTTCACAGTAAAAGTTTGGACCACTAGTCCTGCACAAGGTTTCCAGTTCATGAAAAAGTCTTGGAAATTGTGCATCTTACAGAAAACTGAAAACATGATGGGATGACTCTCATGACCAGAGTGCTGCAATGGATGGCTATAAGCTCTTCAGAAGGGATAGGCATGGAAGGAGAGGTGGTGGGTTGGCTTTGTATGTTAGGGCGTGTTTTGGTTGTATAGAATTCAATGATTGTGAAGACTAGGTTGAGTGCTTATGGATAAGGATGAGGGGGAAGGCCAATGAGGCCGATATCCTGCTGGGAGTCTGTTGTGGTTTAGCCCCAGCTGGGAAGTAAGCATCACACAGCCACTCACTAACTTCCCTCTCCCCCAGTGGAACAGGGGAGAGAATTGGGAAAAAACTCATGGTTTGAGGTAAAAACAGTTTAATAGGACAGCAAGAGAGAAAGGAACAACAATAATAACAACAATAATACCGGCAAAAGAATGTACAAGAACAAGTGATGCCCAATACAGCAATTGCTCACCTCAGTCAGTCTGGGTGATTCTTACTGTCATATCATTGATATGGTAGGTAGCAACTATAGTAGTAATATCATACTGTATTGTGTAACGATTAATATAATACAATTCAAATCATTGACTATTTTCACCTAAAATCAAATCTCTTTGGAATTCCCCATCCTTCTACATAACCCACCAAGTGCACCCAGGTCCCTGGGCAAAGGCAATCCCACGAATGCGTTTGCATTTGCCTGAGGCAGGAGTAACCCAGACTATCTTCCGCAGCATATTTTTTATGTGCACCACGGGGACTTTAAACCCTTCTACAGAATGTAAAAGTTTTGATCGGGCAGGGTTGGCTCTATTAGTAGATCCCCTAGTGTTGACTAACCAGGTGGCTTTTGCTAAATGTTTATCCCAATGTTTGAATGTCCCATCATCCATTACTCTCAATGTAGTCTTTAACAGTGAATGTCCCGTCACCCATTGCTCTCAGTGTAGTCTTTAACAGTCCATTGTATCGTTCAATTTTTCCGGAAGCTGGTGCATGATAAGGGATGGGATATACCCACTCAATGCCGTGCTCTTTGGCCCAGGTGTCTATGAGGTTGTTTCGGAAATGAGTTCCATTGTCTGACTCAATTCTTTCAGGGGTGCCATGTCACCATAAGACTTGCTTTTCAAGGCCTAGGATAGTGTTCCGCATGGTGGTATGGGGCACAGAATATGTTTCCAGCCACCCAGTGGTTGCTTCCACCATTGTAAGCACACAGCGCTTGCCTTGGCAAGTTTGTGGAAGTGTGGTATAGTCAATCTGCCAGGATTCACCATATTTGTATTTCAACCATTGTCCTTCATACCAGAGGAGCTTTACCGGTTGGCTTTTTTGATCGCAGCACACATTTCAGATTCATGGATAACCTGTGCAATAGTGTCCATGGTCAAGTCCACCCCTCGATTCTGAGCGCATCTGTATGTTGCATCTCTTCCCTGATGGCCTGAGATGTCATGGGCCCACCGAGCTATAAATAGTTCACCCTTATGTTGCCAGTCCAGATCCACCTGAGCCACTTCAATCTTAGCAGCCTGATCCACCTGATGGTTGTTTTGATGTTCTTCAGTGGCCCGACTCTTGGGTACGTGAGCACTTACATGACATACTTTTATGACCAGATTCTCTAATCGGGCAGCAATATCTTGGCACAATTCAGCAGCCCAGGTGGGCTTGCCTCTGTGCTGCCAGTTTCTCTGCCTCCATTGCTGTAGCCACCCCCATAGAGCATTTGCCACCATCCATGCGTCAGTATAGAGATAGGGTATTGGCCATTTTTTCTCATTCAGCAATATCTAAAGCCAGCTGGATGGCTTTCACCTCTGCAAACTGACTTGATTCACCTTGTCCTTTGGCAGCTTCTGCGACTCATCGTATAGGGCTCCATACAGCAGCTTTCCACCTTCGATGTTTGCCTACAATATGACAGGACCCATCACTAAACAGGGCATATTGCCTTTCGTCCTCTAGCAGTTTATTATATGGTGGAGCCTCTTCAGCATGCGCCACCTCCTCTTCTCTTCGAGCCTGCTGTGTGATAAGTTTGACCCACTTACTCCACGTAGCATCAGTCGCATGATGTGTAGAGGAGACCCTCCCTTTGAACATCCAGCCCAGCACCGGCAGTTGGGGTGCCAGGAGGAGCTGTACTTCAGTACCAATCGCTTCTGAGGCAGCTCGAACTCCTTCATATGCTGCCAATATCTCCTTTTCAGCTTGAGTAT